GCCCGCTCTGTCTGCCTCCAGTGCTGGAGTCCCTGGACATGGAGGCCATGCTGAGCACCGTGCAGGCCTGGGTGAGCTGCCCGCAGAAGTTCGCCCGCGCCCACGGGGTCACCGTCCGGCCCGACGCCTCGGACACCCACATCCTCCTCCTGGAAGGCTTCCTGCTCTACAGCTACAAGTGAGCCTCGCTCCCGGCAGTCCGGCCTCGGGGATCCGGCCGCGTCGCTGCCTTTATCACTATTCTCATTATGCTCATATATTTTCAAGGGCCAGGGTCTGGCTCTGTGGCCCCGTCTGGAGTGCGGTGGCACGGTCATAGCTCACTGGAGCCTCCCACTCCGGGGCCCAGGCAGCCTTCCCGCCTTGGCCTCCCGCGTCGCTGGGACTGCAGGCTCCCCAGGCCTGGTTCATGCTTCGGTTTCTTGCAGAGAAAGTCTCGCTCTGTCCCCAGGCTGGGGCGCAGGGGCGCCATCTTCGCCCACTGCAGCCTCCACCTCCTCAGCTCAAGTGATCCTCCTGCCTCAGCCTCCTGAGAAGCCGGGACTACAGGCGCCACCACACCCGGCTCCTTTTTCTGGCTTTTTTTTTAATGCAAACGGAAGTCTTGCTGTGCTGCCCAACTCCTGGGCTCAAGCGATCCTCCCACCTCGGCCTCCCAAAAGTGCTGGGATGACAGGCGTGAGCCAGCTCCCGGCCCACATTTTGACAGACAGGAGGCCAGAGTCCAGGGGGCCCGACCCCAGGAGGCCAGGCCTCCAGGGCAGAGCTAGGATCAACCCAAGTCTGGGGCGAACAGCCACGCTTCTTGGGGAAACTGAGTCCTCCTTCTAGAACCTCAGCCTGCTCAGGCAGACCTGCAGCCTGGGCCGGACTCCGCGGCCTGGCGGTGTGACCCCGGGAGAAAGACACGGGTCCATTCGGGGGCTGCCGTGGGCAATGCCGGTCTCCTCCCTGCCCCCTAAGCTCCAGCCCCCGGGTCCTCACCACCCAGCAAATCCCTAGAGGCCAGGGCCGCGGAGGCCAGGCATTCCAGCCACGGCTGATGCGTCCCCTCCCGCCAGGCCCTTGGTGGACGTCTACAGCCGCCGGTACTTCCTGACCGTCCCCTACGAGGTGTGCAAAGGCCGGAGAAGGTAGGCCTGGGGCCAGGGGGCCTGTCTCGAGTCCTGGGGGGGACCCGGAATGGACCTTGGCAGGACGGCCTTGACCTCCTGGGCTCAGGCGATCCTCCTGCCTTGGCCTCCCAGGTAACTGGGACTACAGACGCCACCATGCCCAGCTCATTTTTTTTGTTTGTTTTTTTATACAAACAGCGTCTCACTATGTTGCCCAGGCTGCTCTTGAGTACCTGGGCTCAAGCGATCTTCCTGCCTCGGCCTCCCAAAGTGCCGGGATGATAGGCGGGCGCCACTGCGTGTGGCCTGCGGCCATTTCTCATTCTTGCTTTCTTGCTGTCTTCCTCCGCAGTACCCGCAACTACACGGTTCCCGATCCCCCCGGCCTCTTTGACGGCCACGTGTGGCCCATGTACCAGAAGTATAGACGGGAGATGGAAGCCGCCGGTGTAGAAGTGGGTGAGTTTCCGAGCGAGACCAGGCCTCGCCCTGGGGGGCCCTGGGCCCAGCCCCTCCCCGCCGTAAATGCCCTTCAGGCCTTCCCCCTCACACTCAAGACCATTTGGGAAATCGGAAGTCCCTCCTGGAGTCCCACCCCAGTCCCTCTTGCTGTTGGTCCCCAAGACGGGTGGATTCTGGCAGCCTGACCCTGCGGGTGGCTTCCTTCCGATGCAGCGGTCCGCCCGTCACCCCGTGTGCCAGTCACCTGGGTCCCGGTGACAGCCCAGTGACCTAGCGGCCGTGACCGCCGCCTTCCTCGTTTCAGTCTACCTGGACGGCACGAAGGCCCGAGAGGAGCTCTTCCACCTCGTCCTGGAGGACATTCAGAACTCCCTGCTGAACCGGCCCCAGGCCTGCGCCCTGGCCCTGGCCAGCCCAGTCCCGCCTCGGGCCCCCGGGCTTGGTGGCGGCCACAGAGAGGGCCAGCCCAACACCCAGTGACTGTTTCCCTCGGGGCTCGACGTCTCGGGGCCCGGGACCGGCCCCCACCCCCGTGTCACCTGGCCGTGGTCTCAGCATTAAACCGGGTCCTGGTTTTTTTTAACCGGGGGGACCCGGCCTGTTCTCTCTGAGGTCCTGACCCGTCACTGGCTCTCAGGTGGCCTCGGGGGCCGAGAGCTGCGGCCAGTCCCGGCCGGCACCTGCTGGACTCCTGCCGCCGTGTGCAGGGCGGGGGGGGGCCGGGATCCTTGGGGTCTCAGTTTCCCCAAAGGTGAAATTTCATGCAGGCTTCCAGCAAACGCTGGAAGTCAGAGAGGCGCCTGAGTGGCCGAGCTCCGCCCTCCCGCCCCCTGCCACCGTTCTCTGTGACAGAGGGAGCCGCCACCCACCCTGGAGGGGTTATCGGGGCCCTCGCGGACCCCGGTTACCCATAAAGCACCCACTCCCGGTTCAGGCACCAAGCTCACCCCTCCCACCGAAATCATGTCGTCCCCCCCTGCCCCGAGCCCTTCCGGCAGCCTCTGGGAGACAGTTTCTAATCCAAGCCCATTTCATGGAAGGGCGAACGGAGGAGGAGCCGGGATTTGAACCCGACTTTCCCCGGGCTCCGTTCTCTGGGCCCGAGGCGGGCCGGGGACTCGGAGCACCCCGCGACCCAAGGGTGACACCCTGTGGCTGGCTCTGGAACTGCAGGCGATGGCCCGCTCAACCCCAGACACACAAATCCCACGGTCTTGCAGGGGTGGAACATTTGAAAGAAAAAAGACAGAGGGTAACCCCCTGGGGTCCCCTCCCGCTGTGGGAGCTTCTCTGTCCTCTCAATAAATACGGCTACAAAAAAAAACAGAAAAGAAAAAAGAAAGAGCCAGTTACACACGACCCAGCTGGTCCACCCCCGGGGATAGGCCACCCCCCTTTTTTTGACTCGAGGGCTCACTCTGTGGCCCAGGCTGGATGCAGTGGCACACTCACAGGTCACCACAACCTCAACCCCCTGGGCTCAGGCAGTCCTACCTCAGCCTCCACACAACTGGGACTACGTGCACGCACCACCACGCCCAGCTGATTTTTCTTTTTTTTTTTTTGAGTTGGAGTCTCACTCGGTCGCCCAGACTGGAGTGCAGGGGCCGCTCCCGGCCACCGCAGCCTCGACCTGCCGGGCTCCGGCGATCCTGCCGCCTCAGCCTTCCGAGTAGCCGGAATTACAGGTGCGCGCTACCACGCCCAGCTGATTTTTTGATTTATTGTAGAGATGAGGTCTCCCCAAGTCGCCCAGGCAGGTCTCGAACCCACGGGCTCAGGCAATTCACTCACCTCAGCCTCCCAAAGGCGCAGGATGATAGGCTGAGCCACCGAGCCCGGCTTGATTTTTCTATATTGTAGAGATGAGGTCTTGAATCCCTGGCTCAAGCAATCCTCTCGCCTCGGCCTCCCAAAGTGCTGGGATGACAGGTGTGAGCCAACAAGCCTAGCGAGTTTTTTAATTTTTTGTAGAGATGAGATCTTGCTATGTTGCCCAGGCTGGTCTCAAACTCTTGGGCTCACGTGATGTTCCCACTTTAGCTTCCCTAAGTGCTAGGATGGCAGGCAAGAGCCATTGAATCTGGCTCTGTTGACCCATTTTCATTTTTTATTTTTATTATTTTTTATTTTTTGAGTTGGAGTCTCACTCGGTCGCCCAGACTGGAGTGCAGGGGCCGCTCCCGGCCACCGCAGCCTCGACCT